CTGCTCTATTTTTTTTTAACCCCAAGTCCTTTCCCTGCAAAATAATAACAATAAAAATATAAAAATAGCTGCACACACCGAAACTTCGCTCCGGCAGCCCCTTACCTCGGGCACCGGGCAGGGCAGGGCAGTCGGTCCGACCGGCCCCGGGGCTATAAACCCCGGGGGTGGCTTTTGTGAGTTTGCCGGAGTTTCCCCGGGCTGTCCCCTTTTGTGTCCCATTGCCATCTAGAGGCCCCGATTAATTAATTTCACACCGAAGCTCGGGAGAAAATTTTCCCACAAAACAAGCGGGCGAGGAGATGTGAAACTCCAAAGAAAAGGAGTCAACATCAAGTTCAACAGCATGCGGGGAAAGGCCCATTTCCATCACAATCGCGTCTGAGCGGGGGCCGGGCGGGGGGCGGCGGGCGGCGGCCCCCGCGCCCCCTCCGCGCGTTCCCAGGCTCGGAACAATCGCGCTCTGTTTGCCTCGCACATGCCGGCGTTTGGGCACGGAGGCTGCCTTGGGATAACAGGAATAATGAGGGGAGGGGGGCTGGGAGCGGGGGCGGCGCGGGGGGAGCGCGGCCGGGCGCACCTGGGCGATGCCCGGTACCGACCTGTTGAGCCGCGGGCCGGCGGCACCCGCTGCGCTCGGCGGGAGGAGCCGCGCCGGGTGACAGCGACAAGGAAGGCTCCGAGGGGACCCCAAAGCGGCCAAGGGACGGTGGAGACCCCCGGAGTGGCGTGGGGACACTTTTCGCTAAGTTTGCTGTCGCCTCCTCGTCTCCCCGCCGAGCGCGGCCACGCGTTTTCCCACAGCCCCGGGGGAACGGGGGGTGCGTGGCCCGGGGGAGCGGGCCCCGGGGCAGCGGGGGGCCGGGGCCCGGGGTGGCCGAGGCGGTGGTGGACGTGTCCTGCAACCCAAGCAGCTCGGCTCCGCCGGGCATTGTCCCCACGGAGCCCGTGGCCATTGTTCCCGGCGCTGCGGGAGCCGGAGGGAGGGCAGCTTTCCACGCCTCGTCCCCGTTCTCCCCCTCCCGCCGCCGCCATCTCACCCCCACCCCGACACTCACACCGGGGCTGCCGGGACCCTAATCCGGGATGGGGCGGGGGGAGGGAAAAGAACACCCCACCCACCCCCCGGGAAAAAAAAAAAAAAATTAAAAATATCAGGCGAGGGAAGGGGAGGCGCGGGGTCCCCCCTCGCAGACTTCCTCCAAGTTGGGAGAAGCGGGAGGGGGAGCGGGGCGGCCGCCGGTGCCCGCCCAGCCCTGCCCCTCCGGCAGCACCGGCAGCACCGGCAGCACCGGCGGCGGCACCGGCTTGGGGAGTTCAGTGCGGGGCAAAGGAGAGGGGAGGGGGGAAAAAAAAAAAACAAAAAAAAAACCAGGGAGTGGGGAGGGGATTATTTACCTCCCTCCGCACCTCTGCGTCCATTACTGACTTAGCGGCAGCGGGAGCCGCCGGGACACCGGCAGCGTCCGGGCCGCGGGGCTGGGGGGAACCGGCACCGGCAGCGGGCAGGACGCGGAGCCCGGGGCCATCCAGGCGGGGCTGCGGCTCCCGGAGAGCACCGGCCGGGCTGCGGGAAGCGGAGCCCCCCGCGATCACGTTGCCGTTACGTGGGGTTAAACAGGGAACGTCTGCCCGCGGCTGCCGAGCGCACCGGGCAGCCCCGGCCCCGCCGCCAGCGGGGCCTCGGGGTGAGGCGGCTGTCACGGGGGGCGGATTCCGCCCAAACATCCATTTTGTCCCTTTTGGAAATGGAGATGGGAGAGAGGAGGGGATAAAAAAATGCGTCCTTTTTTTTTTTTTTTTTTTTTCCTTGCTTTCTCCATATTTTACTACGTAAGGAATGACGCGCTCGCGTCGGGAGCGGGATAGGTTAGCCCGGAGCTTGGAGAGGGAATAATAATAATAATAATAACAGTAATCCCGCTGACCCCGCCGATGCGGCCCTGCACGGGCACCGGGTGGCACCGGCTGCTCCGGGGACCCCACCGCGCCTTCCCGGGGGACCCTCGGGGTTTGGGGCACCCCATGGGGTGCGCAGGGAGGGTTGGGGGGTCCTCCTGCCCCTTCTCCCCCTCCCGGGGCTGCGGAAGGCGCTCTCCTTTCCCGGGCCGCTGCGGGATTATTGCGTGGAAATGAAGTAGAAATTGGCGATTTTTTATTTGATTCCACCCCAAATCCCTCGCTGCTCCGCGGGTTAACACCTCCGAGCCCCCGGGGATGGATTCCCCCCTTCCCCCGCTCCTCCGGGCTCACCGGGATTTTGGGAGCGCTAAAAAAAAAAACAAACCGGGGGCTCCGCTCAGCTCCCGGGGGGGTTTGCGCCCCAAATTCGGCCCCGGGGAAGGGGGGACACCCAGGGACACCCAACCCCCTGCAGACCCGGAGCCCCCGAGCGGGGCCGGGCCTGGCTTCAACCCCGGGAGCCACCGGGATGCGCGGCCGCCGCCGCCAAACCGGGACCGTGCAGGTGCCGGTGCCGCCCCGACGTCCTCCCAAGTCCTGCCCGCCCCGGGGAAGAGCAACCCCCGGCCCGGTGCTCCGGGAAGGCTCCGCGCTCTCCCCTAATGAGCTGCGCTTATGCATTTCCTCATTAACGAATATTTCTCGCGGCCGAGCTGGGGGGCACCGGGACGGGCGTCCCCGGCCGCCCACAGCCCGTCCCGTCCAACCGGGGCTTCCCGGGGGCTCGGCCGCTCCCTGCCGGCCCCGGGAGAAGCAGGAGGCCTGGCCTGGATGTCGGACACCCCAGATCCTGCGGCCAGCCTCGTAATTCCCGTGCCCGGTGACCGTGAGACCCCCGGTTTGCCTCGGGGCTTCCCCCGGTAAAGGCGCTCGGGCCGGGCCCGGCTCCTCCAGCCGCCAGGTACCGGCGGGCCCGCTGCCCCCCACCCCCGACGGCGCGGATTTAGGGGAGTGGGTGGCGTGTTTTGGCTCCTTGATGGAGTTTTGATCAAAAATTCATTAAGAGGCGCTCGGCGCAGCGCCATGAATATTTCAGGGCTTTTGCAAAACAACAAAGTGGGTGTTTGGGGGAGGATGCACCGGGGGAGAGGCAGCCCCCGGTGCCCGTCTCGGCCCCGGTTTGATGCGGCGGGGACGCCAGCAGGGCCCGGTCCCCTCCGTTCCGTCGGGGCCGCAGCCCGGGGGCTCGCGGCTGCCCCGTTATACGGCGGGGAGCGGCCCCGGTCCCGCGGAGATCGATCCCGGTTGGAGAGGGCGGCCCTGCAGGGACACCCGGAGCCACCGTGACAATCCGGAGTGTCCCCGGCCCTGCCCGCGGGCACGGGACGGTCCCTGAGCTGCGCAGAGGACTGGGGACAGCGGGGGGACCCCGTGGTCACCCGGAATGTCCCCTCGGAACGGGGACATCACCCCCCAGGGGACCCGCTGACCGGGGCTGCTGTGGGCAGGAATTAACCCCAAACCCACCCATCCCAGGCCGGGATGGAAAGGTCCCCGACCCCCAAATTGGGGTTGCGGGGCCCCCCAGCACCTCCCACCCGCAGCACAGGGGGAGGCGCCGGCTCCGAGCGGGGACAAAGCCCCGGCGGCTCCTCCGGAGCCCAGCGACCCCCGGAACAGCGCGGACCCCCCGGCTGGGCCTGCAGGTAACTGGGATTTACTGGGCCACCTCCCGGCAGGCTGGGAAGGGGACACAGAGCGCCAGAGGTGGCCACGCTGGGCCGTGAGTGGGGACACCGCGGCTCTGTCGCTCGCCAGTGTCACCCCCAGCACCCCAAGGAAGCTGCGGGTCCCTGGGTGCCACCTTTGGGGCAGTGCCATGGGGCACGCCACCCTCTCCGCAAGGCTGGCGACAAAGGGACAGAAAGGCCGCTCTGAGGGGACCGAAGCGGGGCTGGGGACACCCCAGGGCACCTCCCGAGCCCAGTTTGGGACGTGTCGCAATGGGCGGTACTGGACCTGCAGGCACGGGTGGGATGTGCAGCTCCGGCGGCTCCCGGCGCTCCCGCCGCTGCCCTCCGGCTCCCGCCGGCCGTTCCCGTGTCCCGGTGCTGGGATGCGACGTGTCCCCCCTCGGTGCCACCCCCGCCACCCCAACCCCCGGCCCCTCCCCGGGGCTCACCTCGCCCTGACATTTCCTGGCGCTCCTTCCATGCCAGCGGGTTGCCATAGCAAATCTAAATCTTACAAACAAAACCAGGGGAGAGGAGAAAAAAAAAAAAAAAAAAAAAAAAAAAAAAAAAAAAAAAGGAAAAAAAAAAAGCCTGATTAGCATATATTCAAATGAGCCGTGCAATAATGCAAACCATAAATCATGCAGTCATTGCTATTCAGTCAGTGTCTCTTACCCCAGCCCCCGCTCCTGCACCCGCTGTGTCGCCTCACAAACCCCGGGCCGGTCCCAAAGGTGGCCCTGGAGGGGACCTGCCACCCTTTGGGGGGGTGGCCCTGGGCCCAGCCCGGCTCCGGGGCTCGGCACAGCCCCCTAATCCCGCCTGGTATTTATGGCGCTCTATTAAACCGGGCAAACTCTTCCCAGGATTAATCTCCGGCCCAGGTTTTAATCTCGGGGCTATAATCCCCCCCCTCACCCCCAGCCGAGGGAAGGGGCCCAGCTCGGTGCTGGAGGGTGTGGGGGACCCCCAACCCCGCCTGATCCCGACCTGGGGGTGCCCAAGCGGTGCTGGGGGGGGCCCGGACCCCCCCAGAGTGTCCCCGTGGGGTGATGGCGCTGCAGGACCCTGCTGTCCCTCCTTGTCCCCCCCAGCAGCGTGGCCGTGCCTGTGGCCGTACCCAGAACAGCAGGGGATGCTCCCCCACCCCAAGAATCGGCAGAACCCCCAAAGCCAGCCCAGCCCTGAGCTAAAACAGGCTCAGCTCAGCTGGGCCTGACCCACACCCCCATAAACCCCGCCTTGCTCCCCAAATCCCGATTTTCAGGGGTTTTTCCTTCTCCCCTGTGCTCTGAGACCCCCGAGAGGCTTTTTTGGGGTCACCGAGGGGTGGGAGCAGCACGGCTGAGCCCCAGCGACCTGACCAGACCAGGGGTGACCCGGCTGTCACTCATCCCTCTGCTCAGTGACCCCTGAGAGGTGGCTCTGAGCCTGGGGGACACGGAGGGGGGGGGACAGCGACGCTGAGACCAAGGGGTTCCGGGCACGTGCCACCCCTCCCGTGGGGACATCAATGCCGTGCCACCCCAAAGCGGGCTACCTGAGCCCAAAAACCTCACAGCAGACAGCCCGAGCCCCCCAGCTCTTTATTGGTGCGAGGATAATAAATAGAAAAGAGCCCCTGGCTGGGGCAGCACTGTCCCCTGTCCCCTGTCCCCTGTCCCCCTGGCCGCGGGATTGGGCCGGAATTGGAGCCGCTGCCGCTGCTCTCAGTCCTGCTGCCACCGCGTGGCACTTCCCGGCCACTCCCGCTGGCTGGGGACACGCTGCTGGCGCGGGGACAGGCGCGGGGACAGGAGGGGACAGCGCCCAGCGCCACCGCACAGGACACCGCGACAGCGCCGGGCTCCTGGCCGCGCGGGGGGCGGCGGGCGCAGCCGAAAGGAGGGGACCTGGTGGCATTTGGGGGCTCCGGGGAGGGGGGGGTCTCAAGGATGGGGACAGTGACCCTGCAGGTGGCACCGGGGGCACGGGGGGGGCTTCCCGAGGGGCTGGGACGGGGGAGGAGCGGGGAGCTGCTCCCCCGAGCGGGGTTTTCCCCCTCCCCGCACCCCGCCGGCCTCGCTATCTCTGCCAAACGTCCACGGGCTGTCCCCTCCGCGTGGGGACAGGGGGGACAGGGACCCTCTGCTCGTCCGGCAGCGGCCGCGGCGGCCCCGGCGCGTACGGGGGGAAGCCCTTGGCGAAGTCATCGCGGGGCTGGAGGTCGCCGGGGGCTCGGGAGGCTTCGCTGAGGGACGCCAGGCTGGCCAGGGGGGGCTGGGGGGTGCCCGGGGGACAGCCCAGCCCCGGCGACACCCGCTCCGACTTGATGCTGATGGCCTGGTGCTGCGGGGACGCGCCGGGGACAGCGGCTGGCTCCTCCGCGGGGACGATCCGGCTGCTGGCCCTGCGGCGAGAGGGGACAGGGTGAGGGGCTGTCCCCGTGTCACCTGCCGGGTGTCACCCCTAGAGGCGTTGAGACCCCTCCCCAAGTTCTTGTTCTGGACTGGTTCTGGCCCAGTTGGGCCCACGTGGCTGCTGGGGGGGGGGAACATGGGGACAAAATCCATGGGGGAACCCGGCTGGGAATAACTGGGGGTGCTTTGGGGGGACCCCCAAGAGGCTCCTGGTGGGGGGGGGGGCTGCTCCTCGGTGCCAGCAGCGCCCGTGACTGGGAGTGACACACATGGGTGCAGCAGAATGGGGTCACCCTCGCCTTGTCCCCCCCATCCCCTGCCCCAGGGCCACCCTGTCCTTACCCCAGTGCTGCCATATCACGCCTGCCCTGTCCCCCTTGTCCTGCCTTGTCCCCTGCCTTGTCCCCTGCCCTGTCCCCACTGTTCCCTGCTCTGTCCTACTCTGTCCCCACCCCATCCCCTGCTCTGTCCCCTCCTGTTCCCCCCTGTCCCCTGCCCAGTCCCCACGCCAGGGCCACCCCATCCTTACCCCAGCGCTGCCATGTCCCGGGGGTGCTGCCACGCCGGGGGGGGCTGCAGGAATCCGGGGGGCGGCGGGACCTCGCCAGCCCCAAAATCTGCGGAGTGGGAGGACACAGTGAGCGGGGAGGGTGACAAAAGGAGGGGACAGCGCTGTCCCGAGGCTGAGGGATCGCGACTCACCCGCCTGGGCCGGGCTGAGGAAGGGGAAGCCGGCGAGGCCGTGGCTCGGGAGGCCGGAGCTGCCCGGGCTGAGCACGGGGCTCAGCGTCTGCAGGGCGGGGTACAGCGGCCGCTGCAGGAAACGGGGGGACCCCAATCGGTTCTGTGCCCCAAACCCCCGGGGGACCCCTCCCCACCCCTCCCTGAGCCCCGCAGCAAGGCCGCGGAGGAAGGGGCGCACGGGAGGAGCGGGATTTGGGGAGGGGACAGCCGCGTGGCCTTGGGGACAGCTGACTCACCGCTGCGCTGGCACCGCTCCGGCCGCTCGCCACGCTGCCCTGGCACTCGCCACGCCGGCCCTCGGCCCCCAGGAACAGCGGCGGTGGCGTCTTGGTGGCCAGGGCGCGGCTCAGGCTGGCGGCAGGGAACAGGGGGTAGCTGAGCCCTGGGGGACAGAGGGACAGCAGGACGCACGGATGATCCTCGGGGGATCCCCGTGGCGGTGGCCGCGGTGGCCGCGGTGGCCCCGGAGCCGCGGGCGGCCGTGTGTGCCTGCACGGTGCCGCGCTCCGGCAGAGCCACTTCCTCCAGGGGCCACCTGGGCTGTGACAGGAGGTGACACGCCGAGGCAGCGGCTGGATGTGGCTCTGGGGCCGCAAACAGGGGACAGTGGCTGCAAACCCCCTGCTGGGGGGGCACCCACACCCGGCTGGGATGAATGTCCAGCGCGCCTGAGGCCACCAAACTGTCCCCACCAAGGATTTGGGATGCTGCCTGTCCCCATGCCGTGCCACCTCCCACCCCGGGGGGTTTTCTGCCCAAACCCCGGGGTTTGTGGCGTTTTTGTGTCATCCCCAGGGGATGAGCCCCCCGTGCCGGGCGGTGCCGCTCGGGAGGGAGCGGTGGGCACGGGCTGAGGGCACAGCTGCGGGCAGGGCGCTGGCAGGGCACAGGAAGCAGCTGGAGCGAGATCGGGCCGGTGTTTCCACAGCTGCGGCCCCGCTGCTGCCCACGCAGCCCCGGCCCCGCGCCCGGGAAGGCCCCGGGAGAGGAGCTTTGCATGCGGGGCCGGGCGGGGAAAATCCCCGCGGGGCGCGGGGGGCGCCCGGGTAAGGGACGGGGTGGCCGTGGCCGGGACAGGGGGCCCAGGTCGGGAATGGGGTGTCCGGGGTGGGGTGTCCGTGGTGGGGATGGGGTGTCCGGGGTGGAGATGGGGTGTCCATGGACAGGAGGAGGTGCCCAAGGTGGGAATGGGGTGTCCATGGTGGGGTGCTCATGAAGGGAATGGGGTACCCATGGTGGGGACGGGGAGTCCATGGCAGAGATGGGGCGTCCGTGGCAGGGATGGGGTGCCCGTGGTGGGGATGGGGTGCCCGTGGCAGGGATGGGGTGCCCAGGGCGGTGATGGGGTGTCCATAGCAAGGACAGGGGCCCGTGGTGGTGACAGGGTGCCCAGGGTGGGGACAGAACACCCACGGCAGGGTCCCTTGCCCTGTACCCACCCCCCGTAGTGTCCCCGAGCCTACCTGGGGGCAGTGGCCCTGGGGACCGTCCCGGTGGCTTTGGAGCCGCGGCTCTGAAGGCGGGAGAGCGGCCCTGGCCCTGCGGGGAGCTGCTGCCGCTGCCCAGGGAGCCCTCGGTGGTGGCGGGGATGGGGTGCCCAGGGCATTGATGGGGTGCCCGTGGTGGGGATGGGGTGCCCAGGGCATTGATGGGGTGCCCGTGGTGGGGATGGGGTGCCCGTGGCAGGGATGGGGTGCCCAGGGCGGTGATGGGGTGTCCATAGCAAGGACAGGGGCCCGTGGTGGTGACAGGGTGCCCAGGGTGGGGACAGAACACCCACGGCAGGGTCCCTTGCCCTGTACCCACCCCCCGTAGTGTCCCCGAGCCTACCTGGGGGCAGTGGCCCTGGGGACCGTCCCGGTGGCTTTGGAGCCGCGGCTCTGAAGGCGGGAGAGCGGCCCTGGCCCTGCGGGGAGCTGCTGCCGCTGCCCAGGGAGCCCTCGGTGGCCGGGGACGAGCTGCCGTAGGCGGCCTCGGGCAGCGGCACCGGGCTCTGCGGGGACACGCGGGGGTCAGGGACAGCCACCCTCGGGACCCTTGGGGACTTCTGGGGACACGCGGGGGTCAGGGACAGGAACCCTCGGTACCCTTGGGGAACCTCAGGGACCCTTCAAGACAAACCAGGCGTCAAGGAGGGCGTGGGGACCCTCAAGATGAACCAGAACCCAAGAACTGGGAGGGGACAGGACCCTTGGGGACCCTGGGGCCCTGCAGGACAGACCAGAACCCAAGGACAGGACCCTTGGGGACCCTTCAAGACGAATCAGAACCCAAGGACAGGGAGGGGACCGGACCCTTGGGGACCCTGGGGACCCTTCAAGATGAACCAGAACCCAAGGACAGGACCCTTGGGGACCCTGGGGGCCATTCAAGATGAACCAGAACCCAAGGACAGGACCCTTGGGGACCCTACAAGATGAATCAGAACCCAAGGACAGGGAGGGGACCGGACCCTTGGGGACCCTGGGGACCCTTCAAGATGAACCAGAACCCAAGGACCCTTGGGGACCCTCCACATGCCACCAGCAACTCACATAAAACCTGGGCCGCGCCAGCGACAGATCCACGCCCTCCCCGATCCTCCTGCCCTTGTCCCCGGGCGGCTCCGGCCCCTCCTCCAGCTCCAGCTCGTGGCTCTCCAGCCCCAACCCTTTGCGCTTCAGCGTCTGCGGGGAGGTGACAATGAGCGGGTCCCTGCGGCCACCGCGGGGCCCCGGGGGCCGCCCCCGGCCGCTACCTCGAGGATGTCGGAGTTGGTGCGGCTCTCGTGGGGCTCGCTGTACTCGGTGTACTTGAGCAGCACCTTGTCCATGTCGGTGCTGGCGTACTGGAACAGGCGGTTGGTGCTGTTGAAGATGATCAGGGCGATCTCGCAGTCGCACAGCACGCTCAGCTCGTACGCCTTCTTCATCAGCCCGAATTTCCGCTTGGTGAAGGTCACCTGAGGGGGAACCGGGGGTGAAACTCCCCAAAAACGGCACCCAGTTCTCCCAAAATTGCTCCTCTCTAGGTGGTTTTGCCTCCCATCCTCCCTGATCCCACCTCACCCCTACCTGCCGGTTCCGCTGGTCCAAAATCCGGCTGATCTGGATTTTTTTTCGGCCCATTTTCGCCTCCTCCGCTGGGTTTGGGGCTGGAAGAGAGCGAGAAATGCCTGAGCCCCACAGCCCTCGGGGCTGTCCCCAGCCAGAGTCTGCCCCAGCGCCGCCAAAAATAAGTTTGGCTGTGAAAAAAAATCGATTTTCGGAGGAAGTTTGGTCATTTCTTCTTCCGTGAAGATGGTGGCCAAGCGGAAAATGGGGGGAAATTGGGAAATTCTGCTGAGTTAGAAGAGAGAAAATCCCCTTGGCCTTGCTCAGCCACCCCAATCCATCACTCCCCGAGCACCTTTCTGTGTCAGCCGAGATCCCAAATGCTTCCGCGGGGTTTTGGGAGCAGAGTTCTCACCCCAAACCCCGGGCTTTGCTCCGAGGCTGCTCCCGAAGCTGCTCCCGGTGGCTCCGTGGGATGGGGAGGGCGTTTCAAAGGGGGCCGGGCTGGCGGCGGGGAGGGTCCCTCAAACAAAAGGAGGGTTGGTTTTAGGTTCAAATTTGGGGACTTTTTTTCAAATTTTTTTTTTTTAAGCTCCAGCAGACTAAATTTGACCTCCGCAGGCCAGGAAGTGGCTGCACGAGGAGACAGCAAAGCGAAACCACCCACCCGGCCCTGCGGCCGCGTGAGCCAGCTCAGAGCAGGGACACGGGGCTGGTGACCCCCCGTGCCACCCTGCCTGCGGGGTGCCAGCACCCCCCGAGCCTGGCACAGCGCTGGGACACCCCCCTGCTGTCACCTCCCCCCCAATTCCTGCTCTTCTGCCACCCCCACAGCAAGAGCCACCCCAAAATCCCCAAATGCCACCAATGGGGCAGAACCATGGGCGGCACCGAGATGTCCCCAACGCATCCCTCGTGCCCACCCTGATGTGGGGACAGACCCGGCCTGGCTCTGTCCCTGCTGTCTCCAAACCACAGCCACGGGGCAGGAGTGGGGCTGGGGAGCAGAGGGGTGGCAGCTCCGTGTTGGGGACAATTTTGGGACCCCCAGCTCGGCCAGCAGCCCCCCCTCAATGCCAGGCCGGATGCCAGGGGTGCAGTTGGGGACCTTTGGGTCCCCTGATGCCCCCGGCGTGTCCCGCTTCCCCCTCTCGAGCACGTTGCCATTTTACCATCGTGCTCGCTGCTATTTTTAGCTGATCAAAACTAATTTTAATTTATGGAAGGAAATTGCGCTGCCGTTCCCACGGCCCCGCTGCCACCCTGTGTCCCCAGGCCCACGCACGACCCCCCCCGTGCCCGCCCCCCCGAGGTCCAGGGGGTGCCCAGACCACCCCGGCCCCGCCGGAAAGGGCCGAGAATTCCCTGGTGGAAAAGGCGAGGTTCTCCCGTTCCCACCATCCCTGGGGCGTTCTCCTTGCTCCGCCCGGCTCCAACACCTGCGGAGCTCCCTAGGGACACCCCCAGGTCCCCGTGGGTCCTTTTGGGGGGGCAGTTTGGGGCTGGACCTTGGGGTTGGCACCTTTGGGGCAGGGGGTGCTGGCCCGGCTGTGACCCCCCCGTGTCCCTGCACAGCCGGGCCTGGGGGGAGGATTGAGGGATGGACACAGGGATGGATGGATGGATGGATGGATGATGGATGGATGGATGATGGATGGATGGAAGGATGGATGGATGGATGGATGGATGATGGATGGATGGAAGGATGGATGGATGGATGGATGGATGATGGATGGATGGAAGGATGGATGGATGGATGGATGGATGGATGGATGGATGGATGGATGATGGATGATGGATGATGGATGGATGGATGATGGATGGTTGGATGGATGGATGGATGGATGGATGGATGGATGGATGGATGGATGGACGGACACAGGACTGGATGGATTGGATGGATGGTGGATGGATGGATGGATGATGGATTGGACAGATGGATGGATCCATGGATGGATGGCTGTGTCTCCCACCTCAGCAGGCACATGAAATAACTCCAAGGATTTGCTTGGGGACAATCCCTCACAGGTCCTTGGATGCTGTGGTACCTCAGTGCCCCATGGGGTGATGCCCAGGGGGACCTGGAAGGTTCCAGCACCCACAGGGTGATTCCAAAGGGGCCCTGGCAGGTGCAAACACCCATGGGATGATGCTGAGAAGGTCCTGGAAGGTGGGGGAGGGCGTCCAGAGGAAGCAGAGCCACATTCCTGTCCCTCCAGGGGGTGCAGGGGCTCCAGGGGGTCCAGATTTTCCCTCTGGGTTTTAATTGGGATAAAGCCATCAGGGGCATCACAGGCATTGTCACCTGCAGCCAGGTGGCACCTCCAGGGCAGGGTGGAACCTGATTCCTGGGAGGAACCTGCACTCAGGGAGGGCTCCTGGATCCCAGAGCCCCTCCTGGCATTGTCCCCACCACAGGGATGTCCCCTGAGCACCAGGACCCCAACAAACCCCAGTGCTCCGGAGATTCCAAAGTTCCCAGCCTGGAGATTTTTCCCTCCAGTGCTCCTGGCACCCGTCAGGCTCCGCTGCCTCTCACGGGTGCTCACATGCACTGGGATTTGGGCTGGGATTGGGATTGGGATTGGGGTCGGGGTTGGGATTGGGATCAGGATCAGGGTTGGGGTTGGGATTGGGGTTGGGATCGGGGTCGGGGTTGGGATTGGGGTTGGGATCGGGATCAGGGTTGGAGTTGGGATTGGGGTTGGGATTGGGGTTGGGATTGGGATCACGATCAGGGTTGGGGTTGGGTTTGGGATTGTGGTTGGGATTGGGGTTGGGGTAGGGATAGGGATTGGAATTGGGGTTGGGGTTGGGAGGGGGGTCGGGATTAGGGTTGGGATTGAGGACGGTGTTGGGATCAGGATGAGGGTTGGGATTGGGGTCGGGATTGGGATCACTCCCACCTCATCCCAACCATTCCCAGCACCCCCAGCGGCCTCACCCCGACCCCCCGTGCTGGGATCGGGTTTATAACCAACCCCCCGCACCCTCTGTGCCTTTAGGGGGCATTTGCACAGTGCCAGGGGTGTAAATTCCTAATTCCAGCTCCTAATTAGTGAGCTGACACCAAACGAACCCCGAGAGAGCCGCGTGTTTTTCCCGTGAGCCACTGTGGGATCCCCAGCACCACAACGGGGCCTCCAGCACCTTCACACCCCTGGACGGTCCCAGAAATCCCAAATCCACCGGATTTACCCTAAAATCCAGGCAGGTGGGGCATTAAAGGAAAAAGCTGCCCCAGGGTCTGAGCGCTCCCCTAAAACACCCCCGAGTCAGGGTCTGGGAGCTCCCCAGGGATTCATCCTCCCATGGGGAGCAGAAAGAGCAGGAAAGGGGTTTTTTTACCAAATTATGGGGGTTTTGCTGCAAATCTGAGAGCTGGGGGTGACTGGGAAGGACTGGGGGGGGAATTGGTGCTCAAAGAGCCGCTGGTGGCATTTGGCAGCTCCCAAAAAGCGTTTTGGTGGAGGAAAAAACACAATTACAGCAGGGAGAAAGAGTTTCCATCCCAAAGGAGGGGAAAATCTGAGCCAGGAGTAGAAAAATCCCACAGGAGGGAGAGGATGATGATGGGACCAGGAGGGCAACAGGGATGGGAATGGGGGTTTGAAATGGGGTTTGAAATGAGGGTTTGAAAAGGGGATTTTAAATGGGGGTTTGAAATGGGGATTTAAATGAGGGTTTAAAATAGAGGTTTGAAATGGGGGGTTGAAATGGGGTTTGAAATGGGAATTTAAAATGGGGTTTGAAATGAGGTTTGAAATCAGGGTTTGAAATGGGGATTTTAAATGAGGGTTTAAAAGGGGGGTTTAAAATGGGGGTTTGATATGGGGATTTAAAATGGGGGTTTGAAATGGGGTTTTGAAAAGGGGGTTTGAAATGAGGATTTGAAAAGGGGGTTTGAAATGAGGGTTTGAAATGGGAAATTGGGTTTGAAATGGGGGTTTGACATGGGGATTTTAAAAGGGGGTTTGAAATGGGGTTTGAAATGGGGATTTTAGGAGCACCAGACACAGAGGGCTGGGCCCAGAGGGACAAGTCCAGCCCTGGCCCCGTGGTTTGGATCCCGGGGATCCCCTGGGAAGGGCTGAGCTGGTGTGAGCAGCATCCCGAGCCCAGCACAGGGAAAAGTCAAAGTTGAGCACGGAGTTTGTGCCTCTTGCTTTTTATAGGTTGTTTAAACAAGTGACCAGTACAAACCAGCACGGGGCTGGCCGCGCTGGGTGGGGACTGGGAGCTGGGAGGAGCCAGCTGGGAAACAGGGCAAAGGTGGGGATGCGGCTCTGAGGGGTTTTTGGGACCACCACGAACTCCCCAAACCCCATCCCCCGCTTCCCAAATACCCAGCACCCATAAAACCCCTCAGGCTTTGGGGCTCTGGGGGACACTGCCACCCTCCAGCCCCGCTGTCACCGTCACTGTCACCCCGGGGGTGACACAGAGCGAAAGTCCCGGGCGCTGCCACGGCCCGGTGCCGATGGGCGGAGGATTTTCGGTTCCAAAATGAGTGTGAGGAAGGAGGAAGGATTGAAAAGGCCCCAAAAACGAGGCAGCTCCCGGCCCTCGGGAGGATGGACGGGCACAGAGACCCCTCTCCTGCCCAGGGTGCCAAATCCGGGGGAGGAACTCACAATTGCCATGGGATTGGGCTGGGATTAATTTGGGGGGTGGTCCCCAAATTGTGTTTGGGACACTCAGGGCTGGCCCTGCTGCTTTGGCACACACACCTGGTTTGCTCCTGACAATCCTGCGGGGATTTTTGGGAAGCGGAATGAAATTCAAGGGGTTTAAATTGTCCTGATTTCCCCCCAAATGCTTCTGGGTGCCCCCACAGCAGCGTGCCAGGCTTTGCAGCGCCCTCACCGCTGGCAGGATCCCTCTCCCTTCTCACCGAAGCCTCCCAAAGTTTCCCAAAGTTTCCCAAATCCGCTTTTTTGGGATGTGGTGGGTGCCCTGGGCTTGGGAAGGTTTGGGATCCTTAAAGCAGACCTGAGGCCTGCACGCACCTCCCTCCTTCCCCAGAGCTCCCGGACGTCACCGTGACGCGTCCGGCTGGCAGCGGGGCCGTGGCACAGCGCCAGGGCCGGGCTGGCCGGATGGGCACCCACGCTCCTGCCCCAGCCGTGCCCCCAGGGATGCCCGTGGGGGTCCCCTGGGGCACAGCCCGTGGGCCCAACCCCGCTTTCCTGCCCATCCCGAGCTTCCACAGCAAGTCATTCCCTGGGAAACTCCAGAGCTGGCAGCGCTGGGAGAGTTTTTCTCATTAAAAGAGTAAAAAAAGCCCGAGGATGGGGACAGGGACACGCTGGCAGTGGCTGTGCTGGGCAGGAGGATTTGGCAGAGGATCCACCTGGCTCTCCACGGGTGCCAGCGGGACCCAGGTGCACTGGGACACTCTGGAGGTGCCACACGGAGGTGCCAGCACCCTGGAGATGCCCCTGGCAGGAGCCGTGGCCGTGTCCCATAACCGGGCTGCCACCAGCACATGCCGGGAGCAGCCAGGCCGCTGTGCCACCCCAGCGAGGTGACAGTGCCATCGGGGGTGACCAGGCTCGCCGTTACCGCTGTCACTACAACCACACCGAGCCAACAGCCCGCCGGTGCCGTGCCTCAGTTTCCCCCAGCGCCCTGAGCTCCGCCGCAGCCCCCAGAGGCGCCGGTGGCCCCGGGGGTGGCGGGGAGGTGGCGGCGGGGCCGGGGCAGGGCGGCTGCCACCCAGGCTGCACTTTTGGGTTAAACCCGGGCGTTCCTCCCTGCGCAGACACGAGTAAAAATAACCGCCCCGAGCTCGGCGCAAACCACAGGCTTTTTATAGCCCGCCATCCCGAGACGGCGGGGCGGGGGCCGGGGCTCCGCCGTGCCCAGAGCAGCCCGCCGGGCGCCGGCCCGGCCGCACCGGCCCCTCCCCGGGCCGGCCCCGCTCCCGCTGCCCGTGCGCCCCGACGGTGCGGCCGCCGGCACGGGGACGGAGCCGCTGGGGAGGAAAAACGGGGTAGACAGCGGTGCTGTCGTGTGTCACCGAACCCTCGGCTCGGTGCCGGTGACAGCGGAGCGCGGGACCCCCGGTGCCCCCCGCGGGACACGCACCTGGGCAGCGGCGCGTCCTGCTGGCGGCTCCGCGCCCTCCCGGCAGCGCAGCGGGGCGGCGGAGGCCCCGGTGCTGGTCCCGGTGCTGGTGCCGGTGCTGGTCCCGGTGTCGGTGTCCGTCCCGGTGTCGGTGTCGGTGCCGGTCCCGTTCGTGTCCCCGGAGCGCGCGCTGCCGCCGCCTGGCCGAGCAGCGCCGCTGACATTTGCATAGCCCCGCCCACCCGGCCGTAAGATTTGCATACAGCAGCCGGGCTGGACTGCCATTGGCTAGCGGCCGGTGTTTATTTGCATGGCCACGCCCCCGTGTGGGTGAGGGGCGGGGCAAGGGAAGGGGGCGGGGGCGGGGGTTCGGGGCGCTGCAGGTGGGAAAAGGGGAATTCAGGGAATATCAGGGAATTCAGGGAATATCAGAGAATATCAGGGGAATCAGGGAATTCAGGGGAATTAGGGAATTCAGGGAATATCAGGGGAATCAGGGAATATCAGGGAGTTCAGGGAATTCAGGGGAATATCAGGGAATATCAGGGAATCAAGGAAATTAGGGTGATATCAGGGAATCAGAGGACTATCAGGGAATCAGAGGACTATCAGGGAATTCAGGGAGTATCAGGGGAATCAGAGGACTATCAGGGAATATCAGGGAGTATCAGGGGAATCAGGGAATTCAGGGAATTCAGGGAATCACAGAAATCAGGGAATCAGGGGAATATCAGGGGAATATCAAGGGAATCAGGAAATATCAGGGAAATCAGGGAATTCAAGGAAATCAGGGAATCAGATCCCACCCAGCCCCACATCAGGGACATTTTTGCCCCCTGGACATCCTGGGGGTCCTGTCCCCACTCCCAATCCAGGGGAGATCAGGAGGAAAACCTGGAGAAACGAGGAGTTTCTGGATGAGGCTCTCAGGCTTTCAGGACGTGACATCTTCCTCCGAGCTGCTTTTAAAGCTCGCGATTTACAGAGTGCAATTAGCAGAGTGTTAATTAGCCTCGCCAGTAATATTAATTGATCCTGAGGAGCGGCTGGGGGGAGAACAGAAGCGCCGGCAGAGTCTGAGGTGACACATCCAGCCCTGGGACACTTTGGGGACACTCGGGGTGGCTTTTTGGATGGGGGACATCCCTGTCCTGTCCTGCCCTCTCCCCTCGGACTGCCCAGGGTCTGGCCCGGGTCAGGGCCACTCCCAGCCGTGCCAGGCAGAGCCGTTTTTGGGGACAGGGACCTCGCAGTCCCCCCGGCTCAGGGGGTGCCCGGCTGCTCCTTCCCTGCTCCAAAGCTTTGAGCTCCCTCTTGAGGCTCTTCCTGCTCCAAAATCCCGGGATTTTGGGGAGCCTGGGGTGCAGATGCCCTGGGATGAGAGCTGCACCCCAAGGGACACCAGCAGAGGACACGGCTGAGCTCTGTCCCTGCCCGGGACACGGCAAAGGGACAGAGATGCCGTCACCAGGAGCTGGTTTGGGGACTTTGGGCCGAGTCCCAGGGACTGCCACCCCCACCCCCTCCCCCCCTTTCCAAAAATGCTGGAAACGAGCCTGGAGCCAAAAACTCCTGCTGCTGCCAAGGCCAACACGGCGGGACTTCAAAATAGCCCCGGGTCCTCCGGCCGGAGCCCAGGGTGGCAGCGGGAACCACCCACGCGGGACGGGAGGGACAGCAGGGACAGCAAGGGACAGCAAGGGACAGCAGGGACAACCGGGACAGCAGGGACAGCAGGGACAGAAAGGGACTGCAAGGGACAGAAAGGGATAGCAGGGACAGAAAGGAATGGCAGGGACAGCAAGGGACTGCAAGGGACAGCAAGGGACAGCAAGGACAGAAAGGGATGGCAGGGGCAGCAAGGGACTGCAAGGGACAGCAAGGGACAGCAGGGACAACCGGGACAGCAGGGACAGCAGGGACAGAAAGGGACTGCAAGGGACAGAAAGGGATAGCAGGGACAGAAAGGAATGGCAGGGACAGCAAGGGACTGCAAGGGACAGCAGCGACAGCAGGGACAGCAGGGACAGAAAGGGATGGCAGGGACAGAAAGGGACTGCAAGGGACAGAAAGGGATAGCAGGGCCAGCAAGGACAGAAAGGGATGGCAGGGGCAGCAAGGGACAGCAAGGGACAGCAAGGGACAGCAGGGACAGCAAGGACAGAAAGGGATGGCAGGGACAGTGGGATCAGCAAGGGACAGAAAGGGACAGCAAGGGACAGCAGGGACAGCCAGCACTGCTCCTCCTGCAGACAGAAGGATCGGCTCGGTCCGGATTCCACAGCCCGGCCTGGGCACGGCTGCTGGCACCGGGATCGGGACGCTGCGTGGTGGCACCCGGTGCCAGCGGGACCCCGATGTGTCCTCTCGTGTCCCCTCGTGTCCCTGTGCCAGGAAGCGCGGGGCCTTTCCCAAGGTGCCAGGCGACCCTGGGAGTGAATTTCCCGGGGTTAATCCTGTTTGAATCCTCCCCCAGCCCCAGGGGAAGGCGCCGATCCCACGGGAGCGCTGGGATTCCGCTTCCCAGGCTATTCATAGCACATGGGAAACTCGCGGGGGTCCCAGGGGCCGGCCCGGGGGTCTTTTCTCAGCCTGCCGGGACTGGGAACGTTTCGGGAGCTCCCCGGGGGCTGCAGGGGACAGTCCCGGCGCAGGTGGAGGCCAAAGGTGCCTCTCCCGGGGGATGCGGGGATCGCGGTGCCCTCGTCCCACACCGGGGGGTCAATCCCGGGGTTTTCCCAGGGAACGGCAGCGCTGGGAATGCGGGAAGCGGCTCCGTGGCCGTCTGTCCGTCCGTCCGTCCGTCCTCAGTCCCCACCCCCGCTCCTCCCTCCGCCCCCGGGAGGCTCCCGGGGCCCCACCGGGGGCGGAGCCGGCCCGGGAGGGTCCCGGACCGGAGGCAGGACGGGCCCGCCCCGGTGGACGCCGCGGAACGGAGGCGCTCCCGGCCCGGTGCCCGTTCCCGGTTCCCATTCCCCGTCCGATCTCCCGCAGCGGCGGCACCGAGGAGTCGGGGAGCGCACGCACCTTCGGCACCCTCGGTTCCCCCGGTTCCCGGCGCCGGTACCGGCCCCGCCATGCCCTCCGCGTACCCGCAGCGAGCCCTGACGGTGCTGCTGCTCTTCGGGACCTTGTCCGCTGCCATGGCCCTGCTCTCCTCCAGCCTCATCTTCCAGCTCCCGTCGGGCCGGGCCGCTCCCGGTGCCGGTGGCGGTCGCGGGGCGCTCCCGGAGCCGGTGGCCGCCGCTCTGCTGCCGGTATCGGCCGTGCTGGCCGCGCTCTGCCTGGTGCTCAACGTGAGCTGCCTCCTGCTCTGCCTCCTGCACGGCTACTGCAGCACCGAGCTGTGCCGGGGGCAGCCCGGGCCCGAGCGGTGAGAGCACCGGGGAACCGGGGCTGGAGCGGCAGGGTGCTCGGGAGAGGCGGGGACCGGGGCTGGAGGGACCGGGGGGCTCGAGAGAGGCGGGGACCGGCGCTGGAGGGGCTCGGGAGAAGTGGGGACTGGGGCTCGAGGGGACCGGGGGGCTCGGGAGAGGCGGGGATGCTCGGAGGGGTCCAGGGGAACCGGGGCTGGAGGGACCGGGAATGCTTGGAGGGTCCGGGGGATGTGGATGCTCGGAGGGGTCTGGGGATGCTCGGAGGGGTCCGGGAGATGCTCGGAGGGGTCTGGGGATGCTCGGAGGGGCCGGGCAGGAGGGAAGGGCCAGAGGATGCAGCAGGATCGGGGAATGAGGGGTTCGGGGTGCCAGCTCCTCTGGTGCCCCAAAATCCCCGTGAGGATTTGCTGGGTCCCCTCCAAACGGGGGTTGTGGGGAGCAATCGGTGGAAAATGCACCAAATTCCTCTCCGTGAAGCCCAGGGCTGGAACTGAGCTCTTTAATTTGAGTTTTAGAGACTCTAGGGAGTTTAAATTGGGACCAGCAAGTTTAGACCTGGCTGCACAATGCAGGGGGTTGAATTTCCATGATTTGAAATTCCCAGCGTGTTTTGGGGGGGAGTTCCAGGAGTCACCTCAACCCCCAGGGGTTGTCACTGCTGGGGTGACCACCCGGGCCACCAAAATGTCCCCAGGGCTGGGTCATTAACCCCAGCCATGTGTTGATTTAATCATTACCAGCACTTTTTACACCTGCAGAGTTATCCCCAAAGAAATTCCTTTTTTTTTTTTTTCCATGGATCTGGAACGGGCTGGGGGCTCCTGGCCCCTCACCCGGGTTAAAACTAAAAAACAGCTCGGGGATAATCTGATTTTTAAAGGATTTTGGTGACAACTGGACTTGGTGGGGTGGCTCACGCAATTTTGGGACCTCTGTGACTTCAGTCAAAACTCACTGAAAGGGAATGACGACGTTTCCACGGCTACTTTGTGTCCCTAATTAGAGAATCCAATCAGTCCCGGCTCTGCACGGAGCACCGGGCTGGAGAAATTCCAGCAGCGCCTCCTCAGCCTCTTCCAACGCTTCATTAACGGAGGAGAGCGAAAATATTTCCCTAAAAACACAAAAAATTCCCACAACAAACTCGGCTTTTTGTGGGAGCTGGAAAATTAACAACAAAAAATTCCCCCCCCACCACGAGCTGTGAATTTTCCTGTGATCCCGGCCTGGATTTTGGGCTGTAAATGCTCCTTTTGGGAGCTGTGAAGTTGAAATTTGGGAATTGTGTGGTCACAGGTGAAAAATTGCATTCCCAAAAACTCCCAGAGCAAAGCGCGGGGAGGCTCTTCCCAAATAATTTGAATTTCAGGAGGATTTCTGCGCCTCTCCCCGCTGCGAGGATTCCTTTCCCAGGGAATCTCCAGCAGATCCCTCCCCCGTGCCTCAGTTTCCCCAGCTGCAGTCGGAGCACTCCGCGCAGAGCGGGGAGGAAAAGCGGGATTTGGGCCATGGCCAGGAGGTGGCGGTGATGTCCCCGAGCTGTGCTGGCTCCAGACTTTTCCTGGGCTCAGATCAGGGCCAGGAGCAGTCCTGGGCTCCTCACTCCAGGGATTTCCTGGGCTCAGATCAGGGCCAGGGGTTCTTCAGCCCCAGACTTTTCCTGCCTGAGCTCATATCAGGACCAGAATCAGTTCTGTGTTCCTCATCCCTGAGACTTTTCCTGGGCTCAGATCAGGGCCAGGAGCAGTCCTGGGCTCCTCACTCCAGGGATTTCCTGGTCAGATCAGGGCCAGGGGTTCCTCAGCCCCAGAAATTTCCTGGGCTCCGATCAGGATCAGTTCTGAGTTCTTCCCTCCAGACTTTTCCTGGGCTCAGATCAGGACCAGGAGCAGTCCTGAGTTCCTCACTCCAGAAATTTCCTGGGCTCAGATCAGGACCAGGACCAGGATCAGTTTAGATCCTCACCCCAGATTTTTTCCCTGGGCTCAGATCAGGATCAGGCTCAATTTGGGGTTCCTCACTCCAGATTTTTCCTGGGCTCAGATCACGATCAGTTCCGAGTTCCTCATCCCTGAGATTTTTCCTGAGCTCAGCACAGGATCAGTCCTGAATTCCTCACTCCAGATTTTTCCTGGGCTCAGACCAGGATCAGTTCTGAGCTCCTCACTCCAGATTTTTCCTGGGCTCAGACCAGGATCAGTTCTGAATTCCTCACTCCAGATTTTTCCTGGGCTCAGACCAGGATCAGTTCTGAATTCCTCACTCCAGATTTTTTTCCTGAGCTCATATCAGGACCAGAATCAGTTCTGTGTTCCTCATCCCTGAGACTTTTCCTGGGCTCAGATCAGGACTGGAGCCTGCCCAGAGCTGTTTTCCCTGCCAGGAGCCCTTCCAGAGGTTCTTTTCCCTCTTTTCCCCCTTTTCCAGGGCAGACTGGTTCCTCCTGGACAGCCGGAGCGTCCGGCACGTGGCCATCGGCCTCTTCTGCTGCGGGCTCTGCCTCTACCTCACAGGCAAGTGTCCCCCAGTATTCCCAGTATTCCCAGTGCTCCCAGCCCAGCCCTGCGCTGGTTTCTGCTTTGGTTCACAAATGGCACCACCAACTCCTTCCCACAATGTGAAAATCCCATTCCAGAGGCCCAGGCTGGAATTTTGTAGGGGCTGGAGGGGTCCAGAGATGGGAATGGAGCTGGAGAATTCCTGAGGGGGCTGGAGAATTCCTGAGGGGGCTGGGAAGGGGCCCAGCCTGGAGAAAAGCAGGATCAGGGGGACATTCCCAATCCCCACAAGTCCCCAGCAGGAGGGGACAGCCAGGACAGGAGGGGACAGCCCCAGGGAGCTCCAGGTGGGACAGCAGCAGGAATTTCCTCCTGGAAAGGGCAGCCAGGCCTTGGAAGTGCCCAGGGAGGTTTGGGGTCCCCATCCCTGGAGGTGTCCCAGGGGTCCCTGGGTGGGCAGTGGGTGACCCAGAGGGGCTCGGCCACAGCTTGGACTTGGAGCTCTTCTCCAGCCTCAACCATTCCAAGAATTCGGGAATCCATCCCTTTTTACTCCAGGCTCCTGAGCTCTTTCCCAGGGTCTCCTGAGCTCTCCCTGAGCCCTTTTCCAGCCTCAACCATTCCAGGATTTTCCAAAGCCATCCCTTTCCACCCCTCAGGGTGCCCTGTGCTCTGCTCCCCCTGCAGCTCTGGCCCTTTTCATGCTGCTGCTGTTCGAGCTGGAGGCTGGAATTGCCAGCGCCTGCATCCTCACCTCTGGAATTCTCGTCCTGCTCATCTCCCTGCTCCACGTGCTGCTCCGTGCTTCCCACATTTCCCAAATTTCCCAAGGCTCGGAGCCTTCCCAAGCCCTGTACGAGAACGACTCCGCCCAGCCCGGCGACAGCAGCGACCTCAGGAACGCGGCTCCTGCTCTGCCCCGCCCCGAAATCCACCGGGAATTCTCCTTCCCACCTTTCCTGGAGGGCAAATCCCAGCCGGGCTCGGCTTCCAGCAGCAACCTGAGCTCCAGGAGCAAAGAATTCCACAGGGAATCCCAGTGGGAATTGTCCAGGAGCAAGGAATTCCACAGGGAATCCCAGGACTGGTCCAGGAGCAAAGAATCCCAGCAGGAATTGTCCAGGAACAAGGAATTCCCCAGGGAATCCCAGGATTGGTCCAGGAGCAAATTCTATCAGGAATTGTCCAGGAGCAAGGAATTCCACAGGGAATCCCAGGCCTGGTCCAGGAGCAAAGAATTCTATCAGGAATTCTCCAGGAGCAAGGAATTCCCCAGGGAACCCCCATCCCAGGACTGGTCCCGCACTCACAGGACACTCCTGGATTCGGGGCTGCTCCAGGAGCAGGGAAAACCTTGGAATGTCATCGCCAGGGGGATGAGGAATGTGACGTCCCACAAAGCCACCAAGGACTCCACGCTGGTGTGAGGGAAATTCGGGATTTTCCCCGGAGTTTCCTGGGATTTGCAGCTCTGGAGGAGGAGTTGTTGCTGGTTTTTCACAGTTTTGGGTTTTGTTTTTTTTTTGTGGAAAAATTCCTCCAAAATCCCAGTGCTGCCTGCTTGGAGAACCCAAATCCATCCCAGCTGTGGGAAATGGGGATGGGGAGCAGAAATTGGGATTTTCACCAGCAGAATTCCGGCCTTTTCCAGCAGATCCCGGCTGATTTCCTTTCTCCTTCCTCCCTGCTCCATCCTCATCCTCAGCACCGGCACAGATGGGGGGGGGGTTAGGGGAAATCAACTTTGGGGGGGAAAAAATCAACTTTGGGGTGGGGGAAATCAACTTTGGGGTGGAAAAAAATCAACTTTGGGGTGGGGGAAATCAACTTTGGGGTGGGGGAAATCAAATTTGGGGTGGGGGAAAATCAACTTTGGGGTGGAAAAAAATCAAGTTTGAGGTGGAAAAAATCAACTTTGGGGTGGCAGGAAGGGGGTTTGGGGTGACCAGGAACAGATTTGGGATGGGAAAAAGAAGATTTGGGGTGGCTTAAGGTGGGTTTGGGGTAGGAAAAAGGAGATTTAGGGTGGGAAAAAGGAGATTTGGGGTGGGAAAAAGGAGATTTGGGGCGGGAAAAAGGAGATTTGGGGCGGGAAAAAGCAGATTTGGGGTGGGAAAAAGGAGGTTTGGGGTATCACTGCTACTATCCCAAATTCCACGTGCTACCCCCAGAGCAATTCCCCTGGAATTTGAATTCAGCCATTCCCTGAATCCCTGGAAAATCCAGGAAGGATCCACACCAAAGCTCTGCTCCCTTCCAGTCACCTCCAAAACCAAAAAAAAAATCTTTTTTTTTTATTATTTTGGTAGGATTTTAAGGAATTTTTTCTCCTTTGAAAGCCTAAAATTCCACATTTTTTTGCTCCATGCCTTTAGAAACCTCAGGATAAAAAAGGAGCTCCAAGCTCCCACAACAGGAGAAAAGCTGAAAACCTTTAAAAGGAATTTTCTTGTTGTTTTTTTGGGGCATTTTTGTATTTTTTCTTTTCCTTTTTATTCTCGTCCTCATTAAAACCAAACCCAGCAATTCCTTGGCAGCAGCTGGAAAAGTTTCTCCATGGAGAATTCCTCCCCAACAAGAGCCTGGAGAATGTGCTCACATTCCAGCTTTTTACACCAAATTCCCAAAGCAAAACCTCATTTGGGTTTTTTTTTTTGGGAAAAAAAAAAGCCTGGAAAAAAAAATGGGGAGGATAAACCCAAACCCACCCCGTTTTTTCATGGAAAAAAGTTCCCAAAAATCAGGATTTGGGATTTTCCAGCTTTTTTTTGTTGCTTTCCTGGGAATTCAAGGGCTTCTCTACCTGTGGTTTTTTCAATTTTTCCCAAGGTTGGGAAATTCAGGATGAAAAATCAGGAAGTGCCTGGAGGATTCTTGGGTTGGGGGGTGATGGTGCTGTGGAAAGAAAAAGGAAAAGTTAAATTTAGCAGCTTGAAAATGTGGGAAATTTGGGGTTTCCTTAAAAAATTCCCTCTGCTGGGTAAGGGGTTGTTGTTGGGGTGGCACAGCCACTTGTGCAGGCTGAAAAAGGCCAAAAAATCGCCCCCAAAATCAAAATAAATCCCAAAAATCCCTCAAAAAAAAAAAAAGAAAAAAAACCCCCAAAACTCCCCCCACAAAAAATCCCCCCAAAATAAAAAAAAAATCCCCCAAAAAATAAAAAAAAACCAATCCTCCAAAATTTAAAACAAATCCTAAAAAATCCCTCAAAAATTTTTAAAATGGCAAAATCTCCCTGAAATTCCATTTATTCTCATTTTTCCCATGGCAAACAGTACTGCTTTCCCCCAGAGAACGTGGGAAAAGCAGGGAATGCTGTCCTGGATAATCCTGGAGTTTTTTCCCAGGATTTTGGGGGTACCTCTCCCCAATCCTTCCATCCCTAAACTCCAAATTCTTTGAATCTTCCCAAAAATCTCCCCAAAAATTCAATTTATTCTCATTTTTCCCTTAGCAAACGACACTCTTTTCCCTCAGGGAATGGGGGAAAAGCAGGGAATGCTGTCCTGGATAATCCTGGAATTCTCTTCCCAGGATTTTGGGGGTACTTCTTCCCAATCCTTCCATCCCTAAACTCCAAATTCTTTGGATCTCCCCAAAAATCTCTCAAAAATTCAATATATTCCCACTTTTCCCTTAGCAAACGACACTCTTTTCCCTCAGGGAATGGGGGAAAAGCAGGGAATGCTGTCCTGGATAATCCTGGAATTCTCTTCCCAGGATTTTTGGGGCACCTCCTCCCAATCCTTCCATCCCTAACCTCCAAATTCTTCAGATCTCCCCAAAAATCTCCCCAAAAATCTCCCAAAAATTCAATATATTCCCGCTTTTTGCATTACAAACATCACTTTTTTCTCTCAGGGAATGGGGGAAAAGCAGGGAATGCTGTCCTGGATAATCCTGGGTTTTTTCCCGGAATTCTGGGGGTACCTGCGGCCCTGGGCGGCGTTGAGCTGCTCCTTCATGGCTATGGAGTGCCTGAGCAGGCTGTCGATGCTCTTGAAGTAAACACTGCTGTCAGTCATGTTCTTGATGGCACTGGAAAAGCGGGAAAAGCGGGAAAAGCGGGGAGGAGGCGGAGCTGGGATTCCCAAATTCTGCTCGTTCCCCCTCTAATCCCAGGAAAATTCAGGTTTGAGGAGTTTTCCACTGGGGGAAAACTTGCAGAAAATCCTGAAATTCCTGCTAGGAGTTCCCAAATCCTAACTCATTCCCTGGATCCTGCTGGGTTTTCCAGGCTGGAAAATCCTGAAATTCCTGCTAGGAGTTCCCAAATCCCAATCCCTGGATCCTGCTGGGTTTTCCAGCTCAGAATTCCAGGAATTTCCCTCTCAAAGTGGAAATTCCAAATCCCAACTCATTCCCTGGATTTTCCAGCCTGGAATTCCAGGAATCTAACCCTCAAAATGAAAATCCCAATTAATTTCCTGGATCTTTCCACCCAGATTTCCAGGAATTTCCCTCTCAGTGTGGAAATCCCAAATCCCAGCTCCTCCCATCCTCATTCCCTGGATTTTCCAGCCCAGAATTTCAGGAATTTCCCTTTCAAAGTGGAAATCCCAAATCCCAGCTCTTCCCAATCCATCCCCTGGATCCTGCTGGGTTTTCCAGCCTGGAATTCCAGGAATTTCACCTTCAAAGTGTTCAAAGCTAATCCCAAATCCCAACTCATTCCCTGGGTTTTCCAGCCCAGAATTCCAGGAATTTTACCCTCAAAGTGTTCAAAGCTCATCCCAAATCCCAACTCATTCCCTGGATTTTCCAGCCCAGAATTTCAGGAATTTCCCTCTCAAAGCGAAAATCCCAAATCCCAGCTCCTGCCATGCTCATTCCCTGGATCCTGCAGGGATTTCCAGGCAGAATTCCAGGAATTCCATACCTGCAGGCATACTCCACGGTGTAAATGGCTCCCTGGCTCTGCTCCTCCCAGCTCTGCATGTCCGACTGTGAGGGGAAAAAAAAACATGGATCAGGCAGGATCTAAACTGGGAATGGGGAATTTGGGAGGGAATTCCTGGTGGAATGGGATGGGATGGGATTCCCAGGGAAGCTGGGGCTGCCCCTGGATCCCTGGGATGTCCAAGCAGGGAAGGATCCAAGGAAAACTTGGAGCTGCTTCCAGAGGTGCAAGGAGTTCCAAAGGAGCTGGAGAGGATTTGGGATGAGGGATGGAGGGACAGGACCAGGGAATGGATTTGGGATTTGGGATGGAATTCCAGGGCACAGGGAATGGATTTGGGATGGGAATTCCAGGGCACAGGGAAGGGATTTAAACTGGAAAAGGGGAATCTGGGTGGGATTTGTGCAGGAATTCCTGGCTGGAATTACCAAAGCAACTGAGGCTGCCCCTGGATCCCTGGGATGTCCAAGGAAAGTGGGAGAAGGGAAGGCTCCAGAGAAACCTTGGAGCTGCTCCCAGAGCCTAAAGGGGCTCCAGGAGAGCTGGAAAGGGATTTGGGATGAGGGGTGGAGGGACAGGACCAGGGAATGGACTTGGGATGGGAATTCCGGGGGGACAGGGAATGGATTTGGGATGGAGTTCCAGGACCCAAAAATTGGATTTGGGATGGGAATCCCAGGACCCAGGGAATGGATTTGGGATGGGAATTCCAGGACTCAGAGATTGGATTTGGGATGGGAATTCCAGGGGACAGGGAATGGATTTGGGACTCCAGCACCCAGGGAATGGATTTGGGATGGAATCCCAGGACCCAAAGAATGGATTTTGGATGGAATTCCAGGACTCAGAGATTGCATTTGGGATGGGAATTTCAGGGCCCAGGGAATGGATTTGGGATGGAATTGCAGGGCCCAAAGAATGGATTTGGGATGGGAATCCCAGGGCACAGAAATTGGATTTGGGATGGGAATCCCAGGACCCGTGGAACGGATTTAAACCCAGAAAAGGGAATTCCCGTGGGAATGTTGGGGCAGGCACGGGCTGCCATTCCCAGAGCAGCGGTGCCGGGTTGGGGCGGGGGGGCAGGGCCGTGCTGGGATCGCCCCCGGGCTCCCGGGATTCCCGGGATTGCCGGGATCGCGCACCTTGTGCTGGGCCAGCTCGGGCAGGGAGCGGCGCACGTGCTCCTGCAGCCGGAACAGCGCCACCGAGGGCTCGTTGGCCAGCACGTACAGGCTCTCCGTGAACTTGTCCGCCACTGCACCGACGGGGAAACCGGGACTGACCGGGAATCAGCGGGGAACCGGGATACGGGGGGAGCTGGGCTAGTCCAGAGACAGAGCTCAGTAGAAATCCACGGAAATCCAGAGAAATCCATGGAAATATCTCCGTGGAAATCCAGGGAAATCCATGGAAACACATCCATAGAAATCCATAGAAATATCTCTATAGAAGTCCATGGAAATATCTCTGTGGAAATCCACAGAAATCCATGGAAATATCTCTGGAAATCCAGGGAAATCCATGGAAGTCTCTCCATAGAAATCCATGGAAACACATCCACAGAAATATCTCTGTAGAAGTCCATGGACATCCATGGAAACGTCTCTATAGAAATCCACACAAATCCATGGAAATTCATGTAAATCTCTCCATAGAAATCCATGGAAGTAAACGAAAATAGCTCCACAGAAAACCTCAGAAGTAAGTCCAGAGAAATCCATGGAATATTCACAGAAACATCTCCACAGAAATCCATAGAAATACCTCCATGGAAACCCACACAAAACCTCGGCAATATCCCCACAGAATTCCACAGAAAACCTCGGCAATATCCCCACAGAAACCCACACAAAACCTCGCCAATATCCCCACAGAAACCCACACAAAAATCTCCAAGGGACACCCGGGGGCTCTTCACAACAGCAGCCCGGGAGATAAAGGCCGGCAATCAAACCACAACACTCCAGCGGCCAAACCGCCGCTGCGGAGCCTCTCCCAGCCCATCCCCGCGACTCCCGGTCCCGCCTTTGCCATTCCCGGTCCCGCCTTTCCCGGTCCCACCTTTCTTCACCTTCAGCTGCATCTCCGGTTCCTCCATCCCGCCCGCCGCCACTTCCGCTTCCGCCGGCGCGCCCCCGAAACCGCCCCGGGCAGAGAAAACAGCCCCGGCTGGAAACGCTGCCAAGGGAACAACGTTCCGCTTAGCGCTGCCCCCCAAATCGGTGTCACCCCCCCCCGCCACCAAGTCCCCGTTGTCACCCGCGGGGACACTCGGTGCCTCCCGGTTTGTCACCCGCGGGGACACTCGGTACCTCCCGGTTTGGCCGTGCTTCCCTGAGAGGAGTCTGGGGGTGTCGCAGCCTTTGCCCCCCCTCAAGGGAAGGGAAGGGAAGGGAAGGGAAGGGAAGGGAAGGGAAGGGAAGGGAAGGGAAGGGAAGGGAAGGGAAGGGAAGGGAAAGATCCCAGAAATAGGATAAGGAGAACGTGGAGGACCCCAGGAATTGGGATGGGGGGATCCCAGAAATAGGATGAGGAGAGCAAGGGGGACCCCGGGAATCGGGATGGGGAGGGAAGATCCCAGAAACAGGATGAGAACAATAAAGGGAACCCCAGGAATTGGGATGGGGGGATCCCAGAAATAGGATGAGGAGAGCAAGGGGGACCCCAGGAACTGGGATGGGGAGGGCAGAGGGGACCCCAGACCCCTGTGCAGTGTGGGGGTCTCAGGCGCTCGGGGTCTGTCCCACCCGTCCCCGTTTCCCCCCTCTCCCACCCCATCCTTGTGCCAGGAAGGTGAAGGAGCTGTCGGGGAGCCCCCCCTGGAGCACAGGACCCCCCCAGAACTGGGTGGAAAAAGGGGGGAAGGAGTGAAAAGGCAGCATGGGGGACAGCGGGGTCCCCTCGGCGCGTCCCCAGCAGGACGGGGACGCGGCGCTGCCGGAGCGTGGGGACGGTGAGTTGGGAATGCTGGGGACAAACTGGACCCGGGGTCCTCCTGGAACCTGGGGTACCCTGAGCTGGGTGGGACCACCCAGCCCAGGACACCCCAAAAGGTGCCCGGGGGTGACAGCGAGGTGCCCGGGTGGCAGGTGGAGCCGAGACCCCGCGGGATTCCTCGGCTGCTCCCGTGGATTCCCAGAGCCCCAGTGAGCCCCTGGACGGTGAGTGTGGCACACGGGGAATTCCCTGGCATCTCCCATCCCAAAAATCCCAGGAAGGAGCCTCAAATGTGGAAAATCCCACCCCAATCCCAATCCCAAAGTTTGGTGCCCACTCCTCCTGCCAGCCCTGAGAGGTCGCTGCAGCTCCACACTAATTGGAGATGGGAATTCTCATTTTTCCTGGATTTTTCCCAATAAAATTGCATGTCAGGGGCTGGAAACACTTTGGGATTCCCAGGAAAGGGCCTCAAATGTGGAAAATTCCATCCCAATCTCAATCCCAAAATTTGGTGCCCACTCCTCCTGCCAGCCCTGAGAGGTCGCTGCAGCTCCACGCTGGAATTGGAGATGGGAATTCTCATTTTTCCTGGATTTTTTCCCAATAAAACTGCAGATCAAGGGCTGGAAACACTTTGGGATTCCCAAGTGGAGCCTGGCAAGGATGGGAAATAGGGGGATGGACCTGGGTGGCTTGGATTTAAATAAATGGAAAATAAACCTGAAATTAATGGAGAGTAAATAAATAAATAAATAAATAGAGAATAAACAATTAGAGAATGAATAAATATAAAATAAACCAGAAATTAATCGAGAATAACCCCAAGTTAATCAAGAATAGCTCCAGGTTAATGGAGAATAACCCAGAATTAATCAGGAATAACCCAAAATTAATCAAGAATAAGCCCAAATTAATGGAGAATAACCCCAAATTAATGGAGAATAACCCCAAATTAATGGAGAATAAAGTGCAGACCCTCTGTGCTGCCCCAGGTTTCCCCCTGAAGCATTCCAACACCTTGACCAACAGACAGAGAGGCAATGAGGTGTCAGCGCTGCCGGCCACGCTGGACAGTGAGTGCCACCAGTGTCCCCAGGGGCTGCAGGGGCATGTCAGGGGCTGGAAACACTTTGGGATTCCCAGGAAAGGGCCTCAAATGTGGAAAATTCCATCCCAATCTCAATCCCAAAATTTGGTGCCCACTCCTCCTGCCAGCCCTGAGAGGTCGCTGCAGCTCCACACTCTAATTGGAGATGGGAATTCTCATTTTTCCTGGATTTTTTCCCAATAAAACTGCAGATCAAGGGCTGGAAACACTTTGGGATTCCCAAGTGGAGCCTGGCAAGGATGGGAAATAGGGGGATGGACCTGGGTGGCTTGGATTTAAATAAATGGAAAATAAACCTGAAATTAATGGAGAGTAAATAAATAAATAAATAAATAGAGAATAAACAATTAGAGAATGAATAAATATAAAATAAACCAGAAATTAATCGAGAATAACCCCAAGTTAATCAAGAATAGCTCCAGGTTAATGGAGAATAACCCAGAATTAATCAGGAATAACCCAAAATTAATCAAGAATAAGCCCAAATTAATGGAGAATAACCCCAAATTAATGGAGAATAACCCCAAATTAATGGAGAATAAAGTGCAGACCCTCTGTGCTGCCCCAGGTTTCCCCCTGAAGCATTCCAACACCTTGACCAACAGACAGAGAGGCAATGAGGTGTCAGCGCTGCCGGCCACGCTGGACAGTGAGTGCCACCAGTGTCCCCAGGGGCTGCAGGGGACAGGGGACAGCAGGGCAGGGGCTGGGGCCACCCCGGGATTCTGGGGACAGCTCCCACCCCCCAGATTTGCGGGGAATTCTTTTTCCCTGATGGATTTGTCCCTTCCAGCGTTATCCAAGGGGACAGGGGAAGGGTTGGGGTCACCTCAGGACTGTGGGGACATCTCCCACCCCCCAGATTTGCAGGGAATTCTTTTTCCCTGATGGATTTGTCCCTTCCAGCGCTGTCCATGGGGACATGGGGACAGCAGGGGAGGCCACCACAGGATTTTGGGGACAGCTCCCACCCCCCAAATTTGCAGGGAATTCTTTTTCCCTGATGGATTTGTCTCTTGCAGCGCTGTCCATCCACCAGCTCGCTGCCCAAGGGGAGCTCATCCAGCTGAAGGAGCACCTGAGGAAAGGTTGGTGTCCCTTTGGCCCTGCCAGGACCTGCCAGGTCCTCTCTGGTGACCTCACACTTGCTTTCCACCCAGCCATAACACCGCTGGAATTGGGGCTGCTTGTGGAGATTTCTCCAGTTTTGCAGATCGGAAAAATCCTCAAAAATCCTCAGTTCCAACCACCCAGCAGCTGGCTGAGGTGGTTTTTCAGCCCTTACTGGTTGTACTGGTTGAACTGGGAGCAGGGGGGGGGTTCACGTGGCTGTTGTCATCTCCCCAGGTGAGAATTTGGTGAACAAACCCGACGAGAGGGGCTTCACCCCCCTGATCTGGGCCGCAGCTTTCGGGGAGATCGAGACCGTGCGGCACCTGCTGGAGTGGGTGAGGCCGGGGGGCTGCGGGGCTGCCGGGGGGTCCTGGGCTCTGTCCTGGGCTCTGTCCTTGTCCTGGGCTCTGTCCTTGTCCTGGGCTCTGTCCTGGGGTCTGTCCTTGTCCTGGGCTCTGTCCTGGGCTCTGTCCTGGGCTCTGTCCTTGTCCTGGGCTCTGTCCTTGTCCTGGGGTCTTTCCTGAGCTCTGTCCTGGGCTCTGTCCTTGGTCCTGGGGTCAGTCCTGGGGTCTGTCCTTGGTCCTGGGGTCAGTCCTGGGGTCAGTCCTGGGCTCTGTCCTTGTCCTGGGCTCTGTTCTGGGGTCTGTCCTTGGTCCTGGGGTCTGTCCTTGGTCCTGGGACCTGTCCTTGGCCCTGGGGATCTCTTTTTTATATTCTGGGATCTCCCTCTTTTATTCCAGGGCCTCTGTCTTTAATCCTGGGACCTCTCTCCTTAATCCAGGGATTATTTCGGGAATTTTATTTTGGGATCTGCTTCTGGTTTTAATCCTGGGATTTCCCGTTTTTATCCTGGGATCTCCCTCTGTCCTCCACTGTCCCAGGGTGCTGCAGGGGCAGTGTCAGCCCAGGGAGGGTGGCTGTGGGCAGTGTCAGCAGCTGTCCCTGCCATGGGCAGTGTCACAGATGTCCCTGCTGTGGGCAGTGTCACAGCTATCCCTGCTGTGGGCAGTGTCACCAGCTGTCCCTGCTGTCCCCAGGGCAGTGTCACAGCTGTCCCCTCTGTGGGCAGTGTCACCAGGCTGTCCCTGCCATGGGCAGTATCACAGCTGTCCCTGCTGTCCCCAGGGCAGTGTCCCCGCTGTCCCCAGGCAGTGTCACAGCTGTCCCCAGGGCAGTGTCCCCGCTGTCCCCAGGCAGTGTCACAGCTGTCCCCAGGCAGTGTCACAGCTGTCCCGCTGTCCCCAGGGTGCCGATCCCCACGCGCTGGCCAAGGAGCGCGAGAGCGCGCTGGCCCTGGCCAGCATGGGCGGCTACACCGACATCGTCACCATGCTGCTGGACAGGGACGTGGACATCAACACCTACGACTGGGTGAGTGCCACCCGCACGGCCGGGGGACAGCGGGGACAGCGGGGACAGGCCTCCCCAGTGCCACCAGCGTGGCTGGGCGACACCAGTCTGGAACTGGGAGAGGCTGGAATGGGATCCCAGTGAGATCCAGCCTGGAATTGAGAGAGGCTGGAATGGGATCCCAGTCTGGAACTGGGAGAGCTGGGAAGGCGATCCCAGTCTGGAGCTGGGAGAAGCTGGGACGAGGTCCTAGTGAGTTCCAGTCTGGAGCTGGGAAAGGCTGGGACGGGATCCCAGTCTGGAACTGAGAGAGGTGGGAAGGGGATCCCAGTCCAGAACTGGGAGAGGCTGGAATGGATCCCAGCGGGTGGGGAAGCCCCTGAGGGACCCCAGGGAGAAGGAGGGGCTGTGTGAGCCCAGGAATGACCATGAGGCACCCCAGGAAGGAGCAGGGGCTGTGTGAGCCCAGGAATGACATCTGCCCACCCTGAGGGACCCCAGGGAGAAGCAGGGGCTGTGTGAGCCCAGAAATGACCTCTCCACCCCCTCCCCACCCCACAGGGGCTGTGTGAGCCCAGGAATGACCCTGAGGGACCCCAGGGAGAAGCAGGGGCTGTGTGAGCCCAGGAATGATCCTGAGGGACCCCAGGGAGAAGCAGGGGCTGTGTGAGCCCAGGAATGACCTCTCCACCCCCTCCCCACCCCACAGAACGGGGGCACCCCCCTGCTCTACGCCGTGCGCGGGAACCACGTCAAGTGTGTGGAGGCCCTCCTGGGTAAGGCAAAAATCTGCTCCGTGGTGGCCCCATCTCCTGGAATTGCTGCCCGGGAGGAGGCTGAGGGGCGAGGGGCAGCTCCTGGGGTGCCTGCTCCCCCTGGCAGCCCCCACTGCTGACCCGCAGCTTGCGGCGCTGACCTGACCGAGGAGGCGGATTCGGGGTACACCCCCATGGACCTGGCCGTGGCCCTGGGACACAAGAAAGGCAAGTGGTCTCCATCAGGAAACGGGGGATTTCCACTCAAAAAGTAGGGGTTTCCCTCAGGAAACAGGGGTTTCCCTCAGGAAACTGGTATTTCCCTCAGAAAATGGGAATTTCCCTCAGAAAACTGGGGATTTCCCTCAGAAAATGGGAATTTTGCCCTCAAAAAGCAGGGATTTCCCTCAGGAAACAGGGATTTCCCTCAAAAAGCAGGGATTTCCTTCAGGAAACAGGGATTTCCCTCAGAAAACAGGGACTTTGCCTCGGAAAACATGGATTTTGCCTCAGAAAACTGGGATTTTCCCTCAGAAAACTGGGATTCTTCCTCAGAAAATTGGGATTTTCCCTCAGAAAACCTGGGTTTCCCCTCAGGAAACAGGGGTTCCCCTCAGAAAACTGGGATTTTCCCTCAGAAAGCAAGAGTAAAACGATGACCAGCTCCTTCCCAGAGCAGCCTCCCTGAATCCCACCCTCTCCCTCCCTCAGTCCAACAGGTTATCGAGAACCACATCCTGAAGCTGTTCCAGAACAAGAAGAAAAAGAAGTGAGGCAGCAGCTCCAGCTCTTCCCAGGATCACCATGGCCTCATCCCGATGCTCCAGGCATGGAGAAATCCAGAAATTTCTGCCCTCGTGGATCCAAGCTTCACCCGGGGGTGGCATGGCTGCCGTGCCTGAAATCCAGGGACACTCATTCCAGCCCTGGCTGGGCTCGGCTGCTCCGTGTTTGCCATCAGAAGTAAACTCTAATTGCAATTAAACTCTGTGGAGCCCTATCTGCTGCCTCAGCCCATCCTAACCCCGGGTTTTGGGCAGCCAGGAGTCAAAATTTCCCCTCAGCATTGTGGAATTCCTGTCCAGAGCTGTCCCTTCTCCTGTAAAACTGCCACAGCCAGGATGGGGAAAATCCTGCAGGATTCTGGCACATGGGAATTCCAGTTTTTGGGCAACCATGAGTGAAAATTTCCCTCAGCACTGTGGAATTCCTGTCCAGAGCTGCTGTCCCTTTGGAAAGGGAAGCTCCCATAAAACTGCTATAGCCAGGAGGGAAAATCCTGCAGGATTCTGGCGCACGGGAATTCCAGTTTTTGGGCAACCATGAGTGAAAATTTCCCTCAGCACTGTGGAATTCCTGTCCAGAGCTGTCCCTGCTCCGGTAAAACTGCCACAGCCAGGAGGGAAAATCCTGCAGGATTCTGTTGCTGCCGTCCCAAGCAGCTCAGGGGTGGCCACTGAGGTGACAGCACAGGGAGGGGACACTTCTCTGTCCTGAAGCCAGACCCTGAGGGCTCATTCCAGGAAAAAACAGGAATATCTTTTATTGATCCCATTCCACGCCTGTGCCCCACCACAGCCTCACCAGTGTCACCTCAGGGGACAGGGATCCCCCTCGTGGGGTGTTCAGAGCCCCCAAAGAGGGGACAGCCCCGGGGTCCCCCCCTAGAGCCTCTCCCCCAGCACCCCCAGGTGATAAACCACCACCCTCCCGAAGAAATCCGTGCTGCTCCCAAAGGTGATTTTCAGCTTGTCCAGCACCGTCTCCTCCACCTGGAACCTGTGCAGTTCCCAGTCAAGGAATAACGCTGGGACTGGGATGTGGGGGTCACACCCCCAGCTCCGCTCAGCAGTGGAATTCCCCAAAAAATCCCCAAATTCTGCCTTCTCCCCATCACCTTCCTGGCAAAGGATATTTGCATGGCGTGGCTGTCCTGGGGGTACAGCTCGGATATTTTCACCAGTTCCTCGCCCGTTCTGCAGCCTGGGGAGGGCGAGGAGAGCCTCAGGTGCTTCCAGGAGCCTCCAGGTGCTGTCCCAGAATGTTCCCTGGCTCCCAGCAACACCCAAAGGCTCCCAGCTCCCCTTTATTCACCTACAGAGCTGCTCCAGGTGCTGTCCCAAAATCTTCCCTGGTTCCCACTGGCACCCAGAAGCTCCCAGCCCCTCTTTATTCACCTATGGAGCTGCTCCAGGTGCTCCCCCAAAATATTCCCTAGCTCCCACCAGCTCCCAGCCCCTCTTCCTTCACCCACAGATCCTCTGCAGGTGCTCCTGAGCCCCTCCTGGGCTTTGGGAATTGCCTCCCTGGAGCCCCTGCAGGATGCAGGCGTGGGTAAACTGAGGCAGGAGCCCGCACCTGAGGCGATCCTCACCTTCCAGCGTGCACAGCCGGCTGGAAAAGCCCCCCTGGAACTGGATGTGCAGCTGGGAGACCTTGACAGGGCGGGGGAAATCCAGGGTGACCCACTGGGACGTGCCCTGGGAGGGGACAGGAGTGTCACAGGGGGCACGGAGCGGGGCGGGGGGTGGTCACAGCTGTGTCCCTGTCCCTGTCCCCTCACCTGGTCCGAGTTCCAGCAGGTCTCCTCGCTGCCATCAAAGAGGTGCTGCTTCCCGAACTGCTTCACGTCCCGGTTCAGCACCGAGCTCACCCTGCGGGGACAGTGCCACCCCCCCGGGGGACATCAGGGGCAGGCAGGGCCGGGGACAGCGGGTGACAGGCGGGAGGGGCCGGCACTCACCGCGTGGCCGTGTGGGCACAGACCAGGGGCTCCACGGGCATCGCCGCCTGCGGAGAGGGATGGGCATGATGGGGACACCCAAAACAGGGCTGGGGACACCCAAAATGCGACCTGGGACACACAGAACGGGGCTGGGGACACCTGGGTGGGACTGGGGGCACCCAAAACGGGACTGGGGACACCCAAAACGGGACTGGGGACACCTGGGTGGGACTGGGGACACCCAAAACAGGGCTGGGGACACCCAAAAATGGGACCTGGGACACCCAAAACAGGGCTGGGGACACCCAGAATGGGGCTGGGGACACCCAAAACGGGGCTGGGGACACCCAAAATGGGACCTGGGACACCCAAAACGGGGCTGGGGACACCTGGGTGGGACTGGGGGCACCCAAAACAGGGCTGGGGACACCCAAAACGGGACTGGGGATACCTGGGTGGGACTGGGGACACCCAAAACGGGAATGGGGACACCTGGGTGCGAATGGGAACACCCTAAACACTACTGGGGACACCTGGGCGGGAATGGGGACCCTTGGATTGTACTGGGGACACCCAGAACAGCGCTGGGGACCCGGGGACACCCCTGGGCACCATCGGACCGTGCTGGGGACCCCCCGAACAGCAGCGGTGACACCCGGACAGCAATGGGGACCCCCGAGCAGCCCTGGGGACCCCCGGGAGCCGCTCCCCGGCCCCTCCCGGTGCTGCCCCGCACTCACCGCCCGCCGCAGGAAGAGGCGGAGCCGCCGCCCCGCTCCCGGTGTCCGGTACCGCCCTCGGCATCGCGGGGACTCCGCCACGGCAGCTCCGTGTGCCCCCCGCCACCCTCCGTGTCCCCCAGCACCACCGACCCCTCCCGCCATGTTCGCCCCCCTGCAAAAGCCTCGCCCCCGGTACCGGTTCCCGGTACCGGTCCCCGCGTGTCCTTGGGGATCCCCGCTCCTTTCCCGGTGCTGGGGGGGCACGGGCGGGGGGCGCGGGGACCTTCCCGGGGCAGCTCTGCTGGTGACACCGGCGGAGAGCGGCTGGGAGGGGAGAGGGAGAGGGAGAGGGAGAGGGAAGGAGTGCGGGGCGGGAGGGATACCCGCATTCCTGCGTCCCTGAAACCCTGCGTGTGCCTGCATCCCTAAACCTCTGAATTCCTGAATCCCGTGTCATTCCTGAGTCCCTGCAGCCCTGCAGGTCCCTGCACATCCCCGCATCCCTGCATATCCCTGCACATCCCTGCAGCCCTGCATATCCCTGCATCCCTGAATGCCTGCATTCCTGAATTCCTGCATATCCCTGCAACCCTGAATCCCTGCAAATCTCTGCATATCCCTACACATCCCTGCACACTCCTGCATCCCTGCACATCCCTGCATATTCCTGCATCCCTGCAGACCCCAGGATCCTTCCACAGCCCAGCAGTGCTGCACCTCCCAGTTCATCCCTGCATTCCTGCTCATCCCCGCATCCTTTTTCATTCCTGTTCATCCTGACATCCCTGCATGGCTCAGCATCTCTGAATCCGTGCTCACCCCTGCGAATCCCACCATCTCTGAATCCTTGCTCACCCCTGCCCATCCCAGCATCCTTGAATCCCTGCTCACCCCTGCCCATCCCAGCATCCCTGAATCCCTGCTCACCCCTGCCCATCCTTGAATCCCTGCTCACCCCTGCCCATCCCAGCATCCCTGCCCACCGCAGCCCCCGGCTCCGCAGCCCCGCAGAGCTCCCGGTGCTGGGTGAGTCACGGCGGCCGCGCCGAGGCCGCCTCAGCTCAGTCACCGGCAAAAATAAACCCGGCGAGAGCTGCGAAGCCACCGCCCCCTCCTCGTCCCCATCCTTGTCTCCATCCCCGTCCCCATCCCCGTCCTGGTCCCCATTCCCGTCCCCGCGCCGCCCCGGGGCTCGGCCCCGGCTGGGGACACGCTGCCGCCCGCACACACATGTCACACACATGTCACACGCCTGTGTGCACACCCGCGGGGGCACGCCACGCAGCAGCACACGCGTGACCGGCTCTGCCTTCCTCCTCCTCCTCCTCCCTCCCCTCCTTCCCCCGTCGAGTTTCGCCTGAGAAATTGGGTCAAAAACCGCAGGAGCCTCATTTGCCCCTGGGCTAATTGCTCGTCTGGGGACAGAGCTGCCACTTCTGCCACCGCCGTGCGCGTCACCTCCCGCACGCGCCTGCCGGCAGCGGCCCCCTCCTCATCCCGGAGACCCCGACCCTGCAGTGCTGCGGAACGGGGAGGATCCCGGAGACCCCGACCCCTCCAGTGCTGCGGAACCGGGAGGATCCCGGTGACCCCAAACCCTCCAGCTCTGAGGAACCGGGAGGATCCCGGTGACCCCCGACCCCTCTGCTCATTGGGAACCGGGAGGATCCCGGAGACCCCGAACCCTGCAGCTCTGCAGAACCGGCAAGCAGGGGCCCAGCCGCGGGATCTTCGGCCTCAGCACCTTCCTCGCTGTCGAGGAACTCGGCGCTGCCGCCGCTGGGCCCGGGCCGGCGGCTCCCGGCTGCCGTCCAGCCCGGCGCTCCGCCGCGCCCCGGGGAGGCCTTTCCACCGGCTCCAGGAGCTGATGGCGAGGCCGGTGCCAAGGCCAGCGCGGGCACGGCTCCAGGCCCCCCGCTCGCACCGGGGCCCGCCGTGCCGGCGGCGCAGGAAGCGACCGCCCGGTGCCTTTTGTGCGGCGGGCGGCGGCCGTGTGGGCTCTGCCGAGCATCCCCGGCCGGCGCTTCCGAAGAAAGAGCGGGTGCCGTGCCCTTCAGCATTAATTACTCGTGCCGATTGATTTCCACTTCCGTGTAAAGCCCCGGGGATGGCCGGGCGGTGCGGAATTCAGGGCGCACCGGCACAGCGCTCTGCCTGTTCTCCGTGCCTTTGTTATTTATCGAAATTCCCCCGCGGGGCTTTAGGAAGGGTTTGGCACAGCCAAATGTCGTTTGTCATTCATGCCAAGTGACAATGTGGTGGCATCTCGGTGCTGGGAAGGAGCAGGGCAGGGTGGCCGTGGGTGCATCCCCCTGGAAGGGGATGGGTAAATGATATAATTATCATTAATTTATTATAAGGCTGGTTTTAAGATCCAGGGGTGAGAGCACCGGGGTTGCTGCAGTGTCCCCAACAGTGTCACCACACCGTGAGTGCCTGACACGTGTCACAGCGCTGTGAGCAGGTGTGAGGGTGGCGTGTGCCGTTAATGAGCTCGGCTTTGCTGACGGGAGATGCTGCTCGGTGTCCCCGCACGGGACAATTAACACCCTGGCTAATGAGCCAGCGCGGCGTCCTGCCAGCCCTGCTGCTGACTGTGGCCCGAGTCAGAGCGGGGCTGCCCGGGCCCCGTGTCCCCCGTGTCCCGTGCCAGCCCGGCTCCCCCAAAATCAGCGCACGGGTGAGCTGGTGGCGTCGCCACCGCGGGGGTCGCCAAGGAGGCGCCCGTGTCCCCTCCCGGGTCCCCTCCCGCGTCCCCGCTCGTGTCCCAGGTGCGGGGTGGCCGCTGCCCGAGGGGGAAGGAGCGGGTCCGGCTGCCGGAAGGGGGGAAGGGAAGGAGGCAGTTGCCATGGAAACCGCAAATAAAATCAATGCACGCTGCCGGGGGGTTCGGAGGGAAGTTGGGCCTGGCCAGGGCAGCATCGCCTCATCCCCGGGGGGACCCTGCAGCCCCTCCTGTGCCCTCCCTGCTGTGCCGAGGTGGCGCCGGGATGAGGGGACAGGGACAGCACGGAGGAGGTGCCATCGCTCTGCCCTCCCCGCGTCCCCTCCCCAGCCCTGGCTGAGCCCTCCTGCCCAGCTCCAGCCCGGCAGCTCGGCCAGGACGGGCCCAGCCGCCGCTTCTCCTCCTGTCCGTCCGTCCGTCCGTCCGTCCGCCCGCCTGTCCCCGTGCCAGTGCCCCGAGCGCTGGCCCCAGCTGCGGTGGCAGCGGCCTCGTTAATGAGCTGCAGTCCTGATGAATGTGGCAGCTCTCCTGGAACGGCCTTCATTAGCCGCCGGCGGACCTGAGCGGAATAACAAGCGGCTCGGTGGGGCTCGGGACGGGGTCCCCCCGAGCACCCCGCGGCCGTGCGGGGACACCGGGCCGAGCTCCCGGGGAGCCCCGGGGCCCCTCTCTGCCCAGCGAGGCTCAGGGACACCGCGGTGGCAGTGCCACCACCCCGAACTGGAGCGGCTTGCGAGGCACCCGGCCAGGCCACCCGCCCAGCTTGGCTCTGTCCTGTGGGGGACGGGGGTGGCCACCACAGAAGCAACCCCTCCGTCCCCATCGGTGTCCCCACACCTGTACCTTGGCCATGTCACCCCTCCATTGTGATGGCAGCAAGACCTGGCTGAGACCTACCAAATTCATGTCACTCATGTCACCAAACCCGGCCTCTCCGCTCTCCCCGGGGGGTTTGGGGACAAACCAGGGCACCGCTGGAGCAGTGGGGACGCCCCCAGCCCCAAGCCCGAGCCGCAGTGGTGTCCCCGCGGGGGGTGGCGCGTCCCTGCCCCTGGCAGCGGGAGCCCCTCGGCGTTGTCACCGCACCCCAACCGCCTGCGGCCGCTCCCCGTGTCCCTGTCACAACAAAGGAAAACATCTCTGGATGGAAACTGCGGGAGGGTCGTCACGGCAACACTGCTGCAGGATTTCACCAGAATCCCGGCGTTCGGGCTCAAAAAGACGCGCAGTCCCCGCGCTCCCCCGCGCAGCCGCCGCCGCCGATCCTGCCGGGGTTGGGGCCCGGGGGGTGGCACCGAGGGATGGGGACACCCCAACCGCGTTGTGCTGGGCCACCCGCTGGGGTCGGGGCTCTGGGGGCGCGGTGACAGCAGGCTCTGCCTCGTGGGAGTAGCTCAGGGCTGGATGTGGGGCTGGAGGGGTGGGGGGACCCCACCCTGGGAGGGGAGGGTGACACTGGGACACCGCTCCGTGCCAGCGCTGGCTCGGCCATCCCGGTCAGGACGCTGGGCTCAGAGGGCGATGGGACACGATGGGACACGATGAAGTCGCCTCCCAGCTGGAGGGAGGACACTGGGATGCCAAACTGGTGCCAGGGCAGGAGCTGGTCCCCAGCGCGTCCCTGGGCGCGGAGCAGCTGCCGAGGAGGGTGGAGAGGTGTCGGTGACACCCCGGTCCCCGAGCCACGCTGGCGGGTGGCTGCTGTGACATTCATCTCCACTTGAGACGAGAGCTCGGCTCAGTCACCGCCGGGGCCTTCCCTGCCACCAAAACGGCCGGCGACACATCCCCGGTGCTCTGCCGGGACTCGGTGTCCCCTGGGGGGTGGCCCGGGGTCCCCCCTCCCTCACCTTGGAGTCCCCGAGAGGCTCCGGGGCCCTTTCGAGGGTCGGGGTCAGGCTGTGGTGGAGTTTTTTGGGGTGGGTGACACGTGGGAAGCGCTGGGCCCACCCGACATTCCCGGTGGGAATGAGGGATGAGCCCATCCCATCCCTGCTCGGATTTCCAGGTGAAATTCAGGAAGACGAAGAGCAGGAGGGAGGATTTGGGGCTGCAGGTGCAGGACCCAGCTGTGGTGGGGGGCACCCAGGTGAGGATTTCAGAGCCGGCCCCACCCCGTGGACCACTCCTGGTCCTCCCAAAAACCCCAAAACCCACCGCTGGTTGCCCTCTCCAAAGATCCCTGGGGTGTCTGGATGCTCTGGGAGCGGCAAGAAGCCGCGATATCAAACCCCTGGGACCCTCTCCCTAATTCCCCTTGGCAAAGCCCACGGGGACGGTGCCCCCTGTCCCTGTCCCCCAGGCTCGGGCACCTCCATGGGGCCGGGCCCGCCAGCTGCAGCCACATAAAGGAGGGGAACAGAGGAGCTCTGTGCGCCGGCAAGGCCGGGATTGTGCCGGAGCAGGGGGGGCTCACAAAAGGCAGGAAACGCCACCAAAAGTCTGGCACAATGGAGTCGGAAATGAGAACTTTGCTCTCGGGTTTCCACGGATCCATCCTATGGGCGAAATAGGGAGGGGGGATTCTCTTTTTTTGGTGCCAAGTTGTGGGAGACAGGCCGGCATTCTTCAGTCACCGGCGGGAAGGTGACCCCCCATTCCCCCCCCCAAAAAAACCCCTCCAATAGCTCAGTGATGGTTTTCTTCCCCCTTTTTGGGGGTCGTTTCTGGTAGTGCTGTTCTTTGGAGAGTCTCAGCCATTTTTTGGGGGAGGGTTGGGGCTTTTTGAAGTCTTTATCCACCCACAGCATCTTCCAGCCCCCCCGCACCCCATTTTTGCCCCACCGGGGGTGTGGGGGGCTGGGGTTGCGCCCTGTACGGCTTAAAGGGAATTTTGGGGTGTGGAGGGGCTGGAAGATGCTCCCCTCTTTGGAAACATACCCAAAAAATCCCGCTGGGCCCCCCCCTCTCCTCCTGCTTCCATTACCGCGACCCCCCCACATCCTCTTAGGGATCACAGCCCCCCCTCTTCCACGGACCCCCCCATCTCTCTCCGAGCCCTCTTAGAGACCCCCCTCATTATAGGGACCCCCTCCCAACCCCTTCCACGCTGCGCGGGGTGCAAGAGGCGGCCCCGCTCGATGGGGAGGGGGCGGCCCCGCTTTTGGGGGGGGTTGGCCCCGGTTTGGGGGGGCGGCGCATGCGCGGCCGCCCCTCGCCCTGCGCCGGGCAGCGCGGAGCGGGCGCGGGTTCTCCGCCGCTGGGCCCGGCCCGGCCCGGCTCGGCCCCCTCCGGGGGGGGCCCGGCCCGCTGCCCCCCTCTCTGAGCCCTGCTTTTAAGCCCCCGGTGCCGGCGGGGGTGCTCGGCTCTACCGGCGGCGATGAGTCCCGGCGCGCCCTGAGCACGGACCAGGTACGTGCGGCACCGGCACCGGCACCGGCACCCGCACCGGCACCGGCACTGGCACCGCCCCCACTGCGGGGCCGGCCGTGGGGACGGTGACACCGGCAGGAGCGGGACGGATCCGCGCTGGGTGCGGGGCCCGGTGGCGGGGATGGGGACGGTGACAGCGACACTGACAGCGGTACCGGCAGCGCCACGGCGGGAGAGGGCTGGATCCGGGCCGGGTCCGGGCTGGGGACGCGGCGGGGCCGCGGGGGCTGCAGAAATGCGGGGCCCGGTGGCGGCGATGGGGACGGTGACACCGGCACTGCTGCGGGGCCGGGGATGGGGGCGGTGACACCGGCAGCGACACCGGCGCCACCACGGCAGGAGCGGGATGGATCCGGGCAGGGGAATGCGGGGTTGGGGAGGCCCGCGGGTCCCGGTCCCGGTGGCGGGGATGGGGACGGTGACACCGGCATGGCTGTGGCAGGAGCGGGACGGATCCGGGCTGGGGAAGCAGCGGGGATGGGGACAATCGGTGTGAGGGGCATTGTGGCTGCCGGGGGGAGGGATGGTGGTCCTGGCGTGGGAGAGATGCTGGGGACACAGAGGGGACAGGGAGCTGTCAGCGAGGGGGTGCAGGGGTTGGGGACAGAGGGGACACTGCGGGGATCAGGGCACTGGGACAGCTGGACAATGGGGGCGTGGCCACTGGCGTTGTGGGGACACCAGGACAGGGGGACACCGGGAGGACTGGGGACACTGAGGGGGGCTGGGGATCACTGGCACTGAGGACGTGGGACAGGGGACACCGTGCCCTGAGCCCCCCAGGAGCTGGCAGCGAGACAGAGGCCAAGCAGATGTAGTGAGGGGTGGCAGGACAGGGTGCCACCAGGCTGTCACCCTGCCACAGCCGCCTGCACCTGGGCCGCCCAGTTCCTTGCTGGTGACACTGGTGGCTCCCTGGCTGGTCGGGAGCCGGGAATGTCCCTGTCCCGGGGGTGGCAGTGCCATGGCCAGGATGTCCCCAGCATGGGGACACAGCGTGGAGCAGCCGGGATGGATGGATGGATGGATGGATGGATGGATGGATGGATGGATGGATGGACGGACAGATGGATGGACGGACGGACAGATGGATGGATGTGGGTGCGGATTAGGGCGCGGGGCTCGGCAGTCCCAAAATCGGCGGGACGGCGGTACCAGCGGCCTGGATCCGTGCCAGACCCGGGGGTCTCCTCCCGGTTTTGTCACCGGGACGGTGTCGGGAGTCACTCCCGGCCTGTGGCCGAGCCCCCGGCAGGGCTGGATGAAGCCGAGGGCTCGGAGCGATGCTGCGCCGGCTCCTGGGCTCCCGCGGTGCTTGGGGCTTTGCAGGGAGAGGCAGAAAGCGGGGCAAAAAGAATAAATAAATTTTTTTAAAAATTTAAAAAAAGAGGAGCAAATTCTAAAATAAAGGCTGCAGACTGTCTGCCTAATAAAAATCGCACCCGGCAAAGGGCCCATATTGGCCGGGATCACAGTTTCCCGAGGTGCTAATTTATTCCGGCAGGCTGGGGGGAGCGGGGAGCATCACGTTGCCTGTGAGATGTGACGGCAGCGAGGTTTGCAGAATTCCTTTGTTGTGGGCAGAGAGGAGGGGACGCCGAGCCGGCCCCGCCGCCGGGCTCCTGCCGCGGCCGCGCAGCCCCGGGGACACCCCCGCAGGACACCCCGGTCCCCGCTGGGGTTGCGGGGACACCGCGGCGCTGGGAGGGAGGTGGGTGCTGGGGGAGGGGGTCAGGG